AAAACAACACGTTGCACTATATAGCAATACACATTGCACCTTATAAAACGACATGTTGCATTTTATAAAACGACAAGCTACATTTTTATTTAATGTTAATAAAAAATTGTTTCTTATATATTTTGTTGTGCATATATTAAGTAATAAATAAATAATAAAATAAAGATAATGTAGAAATATTAAAGATATTATAAAAATGTTTTATGCTAATTAATAAATTATTTAATAAATATAATAAATAAAAGATATTTAATTATTTAAGTTATTTCAATGTACAACTATAGTTATTAAGTAGTTTTCGAATGCACATTATTTATATGGGAAGGTATAAATTAGTACAATTTATATAGCGGAATGTTGCACTTTATTAAACAATCCGTTGCATTTTACAAGACGTCATGTTGCACTTTATTAACATAATTAACGTCAACAACTCCCACAAAAAATTACGCGGTATAAATCTAAAAAAACAAAAAAAAAAAGTAATCAATAAATAAATTATTAAACAATAATAATGTTAAATATTAAAATAGCATAAAAATATTTTACAGTAATGAGTAAATTATAAATAAAAAATAGTAAATAAAAAGACATTTTAGTGATTTAAGTTAATTCGATGTACAATTATTTCTATTAAATAATTTTCGAGTACACATAATTTATAAATTAATGCACGTTATTTAGCAGGATGCTGTAATTTATAAAACAACAAGTTGCACTCTATAAGACGCCATGTGGCACTTTATCAACCTAATTGACGTCAGCAACTCCCGCCAAAAAAATTACGTGGTATAAATCTAACAAACATATCTACATAATTGCACTTTGTACATCAATACATTGCACCGTATACAGAAATACGTTGCACTTTTTAACACGAAATGTTACAACTTATAAAACAACACACTACGCGTACCAAAAAAATACGGTAGTTCTGCTAATCGATCAAATAAATTAATTGGATGTCGAATTTAAAATTTTTAAATAAATAAATTAATTGAGCATGACGAAACTATATGAAAAATATTATCAATTCTTTTTTATTTATATTTTTTAATATAAGTTTACACTAATTTTTTTATATATTCTTATATGTACTGCGAATGCACATAATGGTTATACTAATCGCATATAACATCTACCGTATTGCACAAAATCGAACGAGATCCAACGAACATAAATTCGGTATGAAAATTTGTATTTTGTTTCGATTATTGTATTATTATTTTATGTATCGAGTATTTTTGATACGATGACATTTTTTAATTTAAATACCTAAAATAAAAGCCAAATTATATTAAAAAATTTAAATTTTATTATTCTATTTTTTATGTAGAGTGTTATTAATTTTATTAATTTATCTAGTATATTTTTATAAGTCAGTTATTTCGGTACGATATAAATTTTGTTATTTAAATAACTAAAATAGAAACCAAACTATAATAAAAAATATTATATATCATATTTATGTATAAAAATGTTAAACTATGATTTTCTATTGAAATATAAAAAATTAATATAATGCGTTTTATGTATTATTGTTATGTAGCAAAAATTTATTATATTACAAGTTTGCCTAACTTTACTCAATTGAAAATATAACAACATTTAAAAAATTACAATTAGCCCCA